CCCTTTCCTGCTCTCTATTGCAGCAAATCAAGAATAGTCAGTCTTCCGAGGCTTGGCACGCATTTCAAGAACAGGTGTAAACAGAGGGCTAATTGGGGCATCGTCATGGATTCCACGCAAAGGCAACCCGGCATGCATCATTCATCATCCGGAATGGAATCAAGGCAGTCCTGGCTTTGCATGCCAATTTATTTATTTTCTTAGTTAATTTGTTATTAATTAGGAATTTGTACATTATTTGGACTGTAATATCTTTTTATTCGGGACTGTATATTTATTTGGACCCTCTGTACGAGGGCATAATTGTAATAAGTTGTGGTGAGTGTGATGTATGTCTTCCAACCCCACGTCTTTCTTCCCTTTTATTTACCTGCTTATGATGGTTAGATTAGGGCATATTTCAATTAGTATGCAGTATGAAGCATGTTTGCATCATTCATCTGTTTGCATGCACCGGGCTCGGCGCATCATACTAACTGCATTTGTATTTCAATTCCAAGTTGAATACATGTTAGCTGTAGCGTTCCATATGCCATGTTTAGAATAGCCGAGTCTGCTATAGTTTGCATTTTTGCATGTGTTGCATTAGGCATTTCTGTATACTTAGGATCATATACATGGATTTCTAATGAGTTTCTTGTTTTGGCTTGGAGTACTCGGTGAGTTTTTATGCTTTAGCATCCTTGCATGCGTGTGAGTGACTGCCATGAATAGCATGCTTACTATGAAGCTAATTGCTTATGTGATATAACTGCCTGAATGCCTGTGGGTGAAGGTTGGGTTAGTTGGATTGGGACAATTCATCAAATGTTTGTTTTAAGCCCACTAGATAGTGGCAGAACCATCTTTTCTAAGCCCACCCGAGGGTGGCAAAATCTGCATTTTAAGCCTACTTGCGAGTAGCCAACCATCTTTCAAAAAAAAAACAAACATGAAATATTTTGCTCCAATTCAGGCGATCCAGTCTATACTTGTATGCTGTGCGCATCACATAGTAATCTAGGCTAATAACCGGAATAAGAACACACAATGTTTTCAAAACTAGATATCATAGTTAGTAGAGGCCGATCTTTGATCGGGCGAGCGGGGGTGCTTACGAAGTGACCTTCCCCAATCGTACCCAAGTTCCCAAGCCGAGGCAACTTTGGTGATGGCGGACACGTGGCCTTAGGCAAACGAGTCAGGGTTTCCTAAATTTTCCCAAAATAAAACATTTAGGTGGCGACTCTGTATCTGGCAAAGCAGTCCATGTTTGGCACTTCTTTCAAAATCTGTTTTCTCAAAACGATTTGCCGGATTTGGACTCTTTGGTTCAGATTGTGAACCGTGACAATTTGAGAGTCCTGAGCTGTAGTGAACCCCAAATGAACAGAACGGGGGAGCTCGTTCCTCTCGGGGCGTTCGGGGACGTCTACACATGTCTAACTCATTATGAAATAAGTCAAAGATAGAAGGGGTGTACAAACTCGCAACTTGGTTCAACATAGGAGACTTTTTCAATTTCATTCTCGGCAATTGTTGTCTAGAATTATATATAGCTTTTACTTCTTTGTACCACTTATCTACAACAATCCAATTGAATTGGGTAAAAAATTGAACAATATTATGATCAGCATGCAAACACCTCTTTAATGCTGCATTTAGGCTTTCACTAAGTTGGATGCTTCACATTCCTGCAGTGAACAAGTATTTACCGTTTATCTTTTTCTTTTTCTCCCTCCCTACAACAAACAAACTTCCTGTTAATTATAGCACCATCTTTTCTACTTTTGCTATGGTAATCTCTTCTAATGCCAAACCCCATAATCCTTCCATATTCATTATAGAATTGATATGCGACTTCCTCTTAATGAAATTCCATGCCAAGACATGGTGTTTTATCTTTAGTCAACTCCCTCATATCTTTGCTACAACCTTCACGTCCATCATTCTCCATTCCAACACCAACAAATCTAAAAAATTGAGAACAAATATAAAAGTAAGGAAAGATTTTTTGAGATTGTCATGACATAAAATTTATATAGATGTCACTGTAAAAAATAAAATAAAATAAATGCCCAAGTTTTACTATTAAAATTTTTAGATTTATCTTCTCTAATTTTGAAGTAGTATAACATATTCTCTAGAACATAATGCCTTCTGAATAAAAAAATATATATATTTCTAACCTCAAAACAACCTAACATTCAAGGACAGAGAAAAAATTGACAAAGAACAATCACTAATTGACCAATTGAAAGAATTAAGATTCACCTTTTTTTATTTTATAAAATTCATCATTACAATAATATTTTGTTGACAAATAAAATTATAAATATAATACGGTATAACAATATGATAGATGTAACATTATTGTTCTTAGTTTTGAAAATATAAAATAAAAGTTAAATAATAAAAAATCTTAAATCTAGTCATACATTAATTTTATAATATTTTATATTAATTTATTTATATATTTTATTGTTCACTTTATTGATGTCAAAAAAAATAAAAATAAAAATAAAAATATATAGAGACTCAACAAAGCGACGCACAAAAGGGCAACAATAAAGGTAGACACATCTAGCATCTAGTATTAATAACCAAAGCAATAGTTCTGAAGACAGAGAAAAAAAAAATAACTCGTAACATTCTGCAGGAAAAAAACCCAACCAATCACAATCACAATAGTGAAGAAAATTATATGTTTTTTCTTGAGGCCTACCAACATTCAAAGAGAAAATATGTTGTATTCGTACAAACCTGAATAGTACGGTGCAAGCGATACAGAGTCTTCGACGAAAGTGTCCAGCGAAAGTAGATAGATAGTTGGCCGATGAGAACAAACTTTTTCGAGTTTTGAGACACTGATAGTTGAGAGTTTGTTTGAGATTATAAAAAATAAAAAATAAAGTAAAATAAATTGTAAGATCTTAAATGGTGTAGTTTTGATTTTTAAGATTTTTTAAACAAATAAAATTCCAAAACAGAAATACTAACAAAATTCCAAAACGGAACTATTAACAAAATTCCAAAACGGAACATACCGTATGTTTATAAGGTGTAAATAATATATATGTCTTTAGTAATAGATAAATAATATATATGTCATTAGTAATAGTAAGGAGTGGTAAGCACTAGCACCTCTCTTGGACTGGTCAGGAGTTCGAATCTTGGCGCTGCGAAATTAATTTTGAAATCACCTTGGCGTCCAAAACGACGTCGTTTTGAGCATGCAGCAGTTGGGTATCCCCAAATCCGTGTTAGAATTAGCACTTCGATGGACAAGTTAGTTTCTGTAGAAAGATTGGTGTTCTTCGATTTCTTGAAGTTCAAGGTTCTAAACACGTACCTCTTTCTCTAACCTCCCCCCCTTTTTAGAGTCACTCTTCTCGATTTTTACTTCATACAGCTTATCTCTTCATCGTCATTCTGTCAAGGCCCATCCCCCTATTATACTTCCTTGAAAGGGACATTCTGGTCTCACCTAATGGGCCCCTGTCAACCCTTCCGACATACTGGGCTCTTCTATTCGGTACACGTACTCACAATTCAACACTTCTTGATATTTTCATGCTTAATCGGATATCTATTCGGCAATGATGGGCTTTAACCTTATTCAACCCATTTTAAGCGGGTTTTGATGCTTTGGCCACTTTCAAGTATATCAACTTTTTGGCTCCTACAGTCATAATTAAAATAATATCATAATTAAAAAAATAATACACTATTTTTTAAAGGGATGTATATTACAATTTTCTTTTTAAAAATATTATCTTGTTTAGTAAGTTGTTACCAAAATAGTAACCTTTTGTTTTTAATCAAAAAATAATTTTTTTTGTGAGGTTCCAATCAAATCTCTTGTTCTAATTTTTAGATAATAAAATTAAATAATTCATGAGACGTACAGGAGTATTCTCGTTATTGTGTTTCAATGACATTAATATAAAAAATCGACAAAAATGATGAGAGATAATGATAAATATATTCAATGGTAGGGAAGTCATGTGGCATAACTAACTTTTTTAGATAAATTATACCTATCTTGTTTTATAATATATCTCTTTTGTTAATTTGATTTTAATTTTAGTTATATTAATTTTGTATTTTAATTTTTTACATTTTATTTAATTTATAACTTGTATTAACTAATTGGACAAAAATTGATGACAAGATAATATTTGGAAACAAAATAGATCTTTAAAATTAGACATTAGCGACTCAATCATGTTCAATTGAATTTTTTATTTTTTTTTTAGATTGATATGTTCAAGAGAGTTAATAGACTATTTTATCTATTAATTTTAGTGAAATTTATTAATAATATTATTAATTAAACTAAATTAATCTAATTTAAAATAAGTGATAATTTAAATAATGAATTTGATGAGAAAGATAGAAGCAAGAAAAAAATTGAAAGAAAAAAAGAAATTTATATTTCATTAATTTTCTTCCTTTTATTTTATTTTATTTATTTATTTATTTTTTGTTACAGAGAAAATTTTCCCACCCTCCTGCAGGTCCAAGGCAGCGCCCCATAAGGAGATCATCAGGGTGTCCTGTTGTCCGTTCTGAGTAAGAGACTATAACCTGAAAGCTTGTCATTAGGGTGTCCTGTTGTCCGTTTCGAGTAAGAGACTATAACCTGGAAGCTTGTCCCGACCTCCCAAGGGAAGATTCGATTAAGTCAGAACTTGTAGGTGTCCTGTTGTCCGTTCCGAGTAAGAGACTATAACTTGGAAGCTTGCCCCGACCTTCCAAGGCAAGTTAGCAAGTTTCGATTAAGTCAGGACTCGGACAGCGGGGCGAACATTAAACTCACACCAAGTAGCTGATTAGGCATCCTTAAAGTCCAACCTCCTAACCAACAGTGTTTCGCTCAGAAAATTAGTCCCAAAAAAAAAATTAAACTTGTGACCTTAGGAATTAAATCCCAAGACTTTACCACAATGACACAGCCCCTTGGATTATTTTATTTTATTTTTATCTAAACGTGGCCTAAATTTGTGAAACGTGAACGCGAATGAATGGCACGTGTAGCAACAACTCTAGAGTTCTCTTGTCTCTGTCGCCACCGCCTACCAATTTTCTTACTCAATGCCTCTCTTCCTCTTTCTCTACAAAGAAAGAATCGATAGGAAAGTGTGAGTCTTCAATGGCAAACCTGCCTCAATCTCTCTCCGTGAATTCTCCGTTCCTTGGTTCCGCCTCCTCGGCCGCTAACGCCGCCGGACCTCAACCGAGCAAGGATCGGAAAATGCAATCCGCCGAACAGCTGGTGCTCGATCTCAGCAACCCTGATGTCAGAGAGAACGCTCTTCTCGAACTCTCCAAGGTATTTATATACATATATATATATCTAACGATCTAGATTTCTTGTATGTATCTGTTTTTCGTTTCGAATGATCAGAGTGTGTTTTATATTTGTTTTTTTTTTGTTTTCATTTTTGCTAGTTCATAAATCATAGGGTTCAAATTATCGCGAGGGTTTTTGATTTGAAGGTGTGACGAATGCGAAAGGTTACGTTTTGAAGTCAGTTTGACTGTTTATATAGCTTCGAGCATTCAATTGCTGAAATGTTTAAGTCAACTAATTTTGTTTAATTGCTGAGAAAAACTATGAAATTCCTCTTTAAACTATGCAACAAAGTTCCAGTCTTGATGTAAATTGTAATTTTTTAGCTTTATGTATGGGATTTGGGAGGTGGGAATGATGAAAATTACATCCAAATGTACTGGTATGTGATGATGATGTTATGATCTAAATGGGGTGAATTTTGGTTGTAATAAATTTCAAAGGGTATCCTTTAAATGAAAATGACAGGTGAATGCATGAAAGAGGATTTTAGGATTTTATGTGATGACGTTAAGATTTTTTTTTTCTTTTTTCATTTGAGATTTCTCATATGCAGAGTAGCTTAGAATGCCATACTGGGAGAGGGAGCTCTTTCTAGGTTTAGAAAGACGAGCATTGAACTCTGATTTTGTCGGAACTTAATCAGTGCAATTTATTCCAGTTGAAAACTAGTGATGATGTAATGAGTACAATTACCTTTACATAAAACTACATATTTTTTCAAGTAGGAAATTGCCAGTGACAGTCACTAGTCAATGGCACATCTTGAGTTCAAATAGCAAGAACCGACTCATAGATCATGTGACTTATTTTGCAGGACAAATTGCTGTTCTTTTTCCTCCCAGAGAGAAATTGGTTATGGTTAATTTATTGTTCTACTTTGTCTGTTATGTTTTTGGAACAAATAAGTATTTCAAGATGTGGCTTTTTGCATGTGGAGTTATTTTGGTACTACTGCTGCTGTCATACATGATTTGCATATTTTTTCTTTTTCAGAAGAGAGAACTATTTCAAGATTTGGCTCCACTATTATGGAACTCGTTTGGTACTATTGCTGCACTCTTACAGGTTGCTCAATGCTCTTCACAACTGTTCTTTCATTTAGTTTCTCTCTCCTCTTTTTATACTTGTGGTTGATGAAAAGCTTTCCTTGATTTCTCTGTCATTCTTTATTTATGTCATTGGGAAATCCCTAACTTTTTAAGCTTTTCTTTTTTTTCTATGACACACAGATTAAGTATGTTCCTTTATTTAGCACAGAAAAAGGGGATATATGTTCCCACCAAAGTAACATTGTGCACAAAACTTTACTACAAGTTTTGGCTCAGGCTGATTTATTAACCACCATATTTTGCCCAAACTTGGCCTACCCATCTAGCGAGCATGGCAAGCCTTCCAAAGATTATGAGCTTAAAGACTGACTTTGGGCTCTTGCATATAAATTGAGTATATGAGCTTAATGAATGAGTGAACTTGGCAAGCCTTCCAAAGAGTCCAAATCTTGAATGCTAGAGTGATAATGCTCCATAGAACCCGAGTTTTATAAAGAATTCATTAAATATGTCCTTGACACCAATTCCATAATCTTATTGTTGAATAATATTCAATTAAATGAGTCTTTGGTTTAACTTCAGAGGAAAAAGTTAAAGAATTAACAAATTTTATAAAAAATTCATTAAATATGTCCTTGACACCAATTGCATAATCTTATTGTTGAATAAATATTCAATTAAATAAGTATTTGGTTTAATTTCAGAGAAAAAAGTTAAAAAGAATTAACAAATTGATGGCACTAAGCATGTGATAACTACTCAACAAAGTTAAGTGGCAATGTATACATCTTTAAATAAATTCTCAGCAAAGAAAGAGATTCATATAGTAACTCTGAAATACCCAGAAATTGTGGCCATAAGTTGTACAATGCCGATAGCAAAGTTTGCTTTCCTGCTTTAGAGGGTAAGAAACAAAGAAAGTTATTTCAAGAGGATGCAAGTGGTAAGATAATAGTGGGGTAAGAGTATTAAGTAGTGGAAATCTTATTATTTGTAGAGTTTTAACAAGCATAAGGAGATAATTTAAATCTTATCTGCTGAACTGTTAAATGAAAAATAATGAAGATATTTGTGTGTGGTCGACAGTGACCTAAGTTTGGACTGAGCTAGGAGTAGCTTATGCTCAGTCAAGATTCAATTTGTGGCTTAAAATTTTGTGGAAACTCATTGATGGGTCATCCCAAACCTTTTTCTGGGCCAAATGGACAGGCCTTAGGTTAGCTTGATCAACTGTTAGTCCAAGCCTACATATCTGTGATTCTGTATTATGTTGATTTGTGTCTATTAATTTTTACTTTTATTGTTTGAATATCTTAGAAAAGACAACATTTCTGTAAGCTCAAACCAAATTTTATGTTTTGTACTTCTTTTGTTTGTAATTGACTGGATGGACACCTATCATGCTATGTCATCTGTATGATCTATGCTGGAATCCCTCATTATTTGCAGGAGATAGTTTCCATATACCCTGTTTTATCACCGCCAAACCTTACCCCAGCACAATCGAACCGAGTTTGCAATGCGCTTGCCCTCCTTCAGGTATAATGTGCTTATTTCTCAGGTTTTGCATCAAATTATTCTTTATGCTGATTCCTTTTGTTCTTGTTTATTTTATTTACTTATGTAGAAAAATTTAATGTATAAAGAGAAATAGAGAATTGTATAGATATTGATTGTATTATTGATTGTTGTATTTTGTGTTTACAATGAGTCCTATATATAGAAGATTTAAAGGAGGTAGGTATGTAGTAGGTGTAGTAGTAGGTGGAGAGGAGGTGGTAGTGGTGTAGTGGGTTAGGTTTAGTGGAGTAGGTGAGGTGGTAGTGGTGTAGTGGGTTAGGTTTAGTGGAGTAGGTTTAAGTGGGTGAAGTAGGTTAGGTTTAGTGGGTCACTAGTCAATGGCACATCTTGAGTTCAAATAGCAAGAACCGACTCATAGATCATGTGACTTATTTTGCAGGACAAATTGCTGTTCTTCTTCCTCCCAGAGAGAAATTGGTTATGGTTAATTTATTGTTCTACTTTGTCTGTTATGTTTTTGGAACAAATAAGTATTTCAAGATGTGGCTTTTTGCATGTGGAGTTATTTTGGTACTACTGCTGCTGTCATACATGATTTGCATATTTTTTCTTTTTCAGAAGAGAGAACTATTTACTCTTTCGCAGTGTGTAGCCTCTCACCCAGACACACGAATGTTGTTCCTCAACGGTAATTTCTTTTTGATAGTGTTGACACATAAAGGCTCCATTATCCGCATCAGTCTTAATCATAATGCTATAATTATGTACCATGTATTTTTTTGGGTTCATTTTTTCTTATTTGAATCAAATGCATATCCCTTTGTGTACAAATGGGTTGTGCTATATTGGTCTATATTTTACTTATATTTGTTTTAAAATCATTGGACATCATGTTTAAATTCAGATTAAATAAAACTTTTTTCTTTTATGTTAGTTTGACTCTTCATATATATGATTATTATGATATTTGAAGGTTTTAAAAATAAGTTCCAAATCTTTTTCTTTGGGGAGCTGGGTCCTATATTTCAAACTTTTTATGATTATTTCTTTCCAAGAAATTGGCAGTATTGTATAATAAAAGTGCGGGCTTGATGACAATTTTGATTTGACTTCAAATTATTTTTTCGATGAGTAACATAGAATTACAATTTCATCAAACCTCATAGCCTTAATTTCATTTCTGTTTGTATCCTCTCCTACGACCATGTTTCTTTAGTATAATTTGCTCAGAATACTAGAGGGAAAAAATCTTCTTCTTGATAGGTAAATTTCAGCTTCAATATTGAATAAAATGGAGAGCAAAAATTTTTTTTGTTCATGTTGCTAGTTTTCACATTTTCACATTTTCACATTTGAGCAAAAATCTTGTTCCATATACCTCCTATGTGGCTTGCTATTAGAGACTTGGCTTGCATTAATGATGACAGGTTTCTAAAGTTTTGACTTGATATCTTTGATCCATGTTTATCATAGGTTTTCCAGCTTTATTTGAAGGCTTGAATATGTACTTTTAGCAGTTAAGTTTTACATTTTTGCCTTTGAAAAATGAGCATTATGTCAGAATAAGGCAAATAGATTATTCTTCCCATGACTTTTTGTTGATGCATATTTACTGAGAAGTCTCTTGCAATTAGATGAAATTGTCCTAACTGATGGTTTCTCCTTTGCAGCTCATATTCCTCTTTATCTGTACCCTTTTCTTAATACAACAAGCAAATCAAGGCCATTTGAGTACTTGAGGCTGACTAGCTTAGGCGTCATTGGTGCTTTGGTGAAGGTGCTTCATTTTGCTGATGTTAATTTTTACGTCTTATGAATAATCTTGCTCTTTTTCATATAATTTTCATACTTCTATTTGTGGAGATAATACATTCCTTGAAATAGAGTGGCAACTAAATATGTTAGTAAGGACTCCCTCTGCAGATTGCAACTTGTTATCAAATGATAAAATTGAAAAACAAAATAATATACATAAAGAATTAAAATCTAATTCATGTCTATAAAAATAGATAATAAAAAAATCCATAGCTAGCATGAGTTATATGGGCATGATCTTATCTCTTGAATGTTCCCCAAAGACGGGGAAATATTTTTGAAGAAGCTAATAAGCTGTTTAAAATGAATTTGCATATTCTCTCAGTCGTCTTATGAATAATCTTGCTCTTTTTCATATAATTTTCATACTTCTATTTGTGGAGATAATACATTCCTTGAAATAGAGTGGCAACTAAATATGTTAGTAAGGACTCCCTCTGCAGATTGCAACTTGTTATCAAATGATAAAATTGAAAAACAAAATAATATACATAAAGAATTAAAATCTAATTCATGTCTATAAAAATAGATAATAAAAAAATCCATAGCTAGCATGAGTTATATGGGCATGATCTTATCTCTTGAATGTTCCCCAAGGACGGGGGAATATTTTTGAAGAAGCTAATAAGCTGTTTAAAATGAATTTGCATATTCTCTAAGTTCCAACCAATGGTAATTATTATTTTGACAATTTTAATTAATATACATTTCCTTAGAAATTCAAACTGGTTCATAATTTCAAGGTATGTATTATGTTGTCTAGATGTTGGTTTTAGTTTTTATTATCTTCCTTTTATTTATTTATTTTTGATCAGCAACAAAATGGAACTTTTATTAAAAAGAAGAATAAGAAAGAGATGCAAACAAAGGCGGACAGGGAGTCCTCAAAACAGAAAACAAGAGAAGGAAAATCCCAGAAAAATAAATAAATAAATAAGAGTCTGAGTCGCACACTGTATTCTCTTCCTTTTATGCAGGCACATGTTAATTTAAATATACCTATGTAAAAAGTTTGGAAAAGAAATACAATTAAAACTATTCATTAAGTCCTGCAGACACTATTTTGATGGGCAGCTGCATATATTGGAAGCCATTTGCAGCCAACATTATAGATTGCTTCTATGACCTTGAGGAGACCTATGATGAATTTTTAACCAAAACAGAGGTGTTGAATTTCTCTTTGATATATGTTTCAACTGCTTTCTTTTTCTTCTCCCTTTTCCCCAATTTTTGAACCCATAAATTGTGACCATTTTAAGCAGTTAACAGCCGCCTAATCGCACACAATGTATAATGGAGAAATTTTTATGTGCAGTATGCCTCTTTCACTTTGCTCGCAGTAATCTCCTCCCTCTCTCATTGAAAGGGGAAGTTACATTCTTCGGAAGCTCTTGGTGTCCCTAATAACTAAGCTCTTGTTCATGAGTCATTAAGTTTTATATATTTATTTATTTATTTGGGTGATTTGAATATTGTGAGAATCAGAACTTGTGTTTTTTTTCTTTTTTCTATTAGGTTGATGATACAGAAGTTATTAGCTTCCTTCTCTCAACAGAAATAATTCCACTGTGCCTGCGGACGATGGAGATGGGCAGTGAACTGTCAAAAACAGTTAAGTGCATCTGAATCCATTATATTAATTTTTTTTTTTCCCTGATGAATAGCACCAATAATTTCACTGTTTCTTTTGTCACTATCTATTGCAGATTCATGTCTATTTTCCATCTGAATATATTGCTAGCTATAGCCTAGGTATGCCTAAAACTGATATGAGGGTAATGGATTCATTCAAAATTCCTTTTTCTTTTCGTAAAGTACTTTTTTAGATTATAAGAAACAACTTAATTTTTTATAGCTAGCATTTTTTATAGCTAAAAAACAACTTAATTTTTCATAAAGTATCTTTTGCATTTTCCTTTCCGAAGAAGTTCAATATGTTTTCTAACTCTAAGAATGTTTGATTTGTTTCATTTTGGTGGCACATCCTACATAGAAAATAGTGGCGCAGGTTCCCTAAACGTTTTTTAGTTTCTTTGCAAATGCAACTAGTTATAGGATGTGGTTTGTTTCTAAGAAGTGGTGAGCTCTATGAATTATGTTGGGTTTTAGGATTATATACTATTGCTACCGTTGCTGATACCTTACAAAATGATTTGTAATTGTAGATATTGATGACTCTAGGCCTGGTAGAGGCTGCCTTATAGTTTCATGGTTCCTTGTTATTGTAACATCAATACTCCCAGTTTATATCCTCTTTAGTTTGATAAAACACATTAAATTTTCCTAGCAGGTTGCAACATTCATTGTTCAAAAAATTCTGTTGGATGATGTGGGCTTGGATTATATATGCACCACAGCAGAGAGGTTTTTCGCTGTAGGTCGAGTTTTGGGGAATATGGTGGCAGCCCTTGCTGAACAACCTTCGTCACGGCTCCTAAAACATATTATCCGTTGTTATCTTCGACTATCTGATAATCCAAGGTTGGTCAATTGCGTAATTTGGAATAATTTGCTAGTGTAATGTAATGAAGTACGTTAGTTTCATCCATTCCTCCTCTCTTTGGTTTGAATAAATTATATTTGGTCATCGTGATGCAGGGCTTGCGATGCATTAAGAAGTTGCCTTCCAGACATGCTAAGGGATGCCACTTTCAGTACTTGCCTTCGTGTAAGTACTGGTTGAGATTTTCAGTTTTCAGCCCATCACCACCCCACACCACCACGTTTTTTGTAAAAAAAAAAAAAATTGTTGAAATAAACGGAGCGTAACTGAGCATTCAATATCCTCTAAGAGTAGTAATTAGGTATTTTTTGGGTTCTTGCAATTGAGGAAAGCCAAAGTTGTTGATTTATAGATGAGAACATCACAACCAACCAATGATCTTCAATTTGATCACCAGTACAACGTTCTTGGTGGATGTTGGGAGATTGAACACTAGGCGTTCAGGAGCCCCTACACCGCTCTACGGGCTCCACTTATCTTGATTATTTTGAGCTTTACTGTAATGTTTTTGTTATATTTTCAGGAAGATCCAACAACAAGAAGGTGGCTACAGCAGTTGCTTCACAATGTGCAGGGACCTCGGGTTGCGCTACAGGCTGGGGGAGGATTTGATCATATGCTGGTGAATTAAACCGACATGCTGTGCCTTTTGTGAAAATTACTTCTAGTGTTACTCTCGTCCGGGCAGAGCATTGTATGTGTGAATTAAGTTATTTGCAGTGCCTTTTATCAACCCGTATTTAAAATAATTTTGTAGTAATTTTATGTATGAATTTGAACTGGATTGACATTACAAAACCCTTCTCTTGACACTTAGCTATTTTATTTATACCAAAGCCAAATGTTTGGTTTTGTGTGATGTTATCTAGTTTATTTGTGGTATTTTAAGAGACAAACATATTTATTCGTTTGGGAATTAGTTAGTTTTTTGATTTTTTTATAAAAAGTCGTGTAAAAAAGTAGGGAGTGATATGATAATTTAGTTTAGCTTTTTGGTTGGGTGCTGCCTCAATAAGTTGTTTATTGGTTTATTTGCTCTAACTTGTTATATCATCTTTTTATTTTTTTATACTCTTTTCAGTATAAGTAAAAAAATCACAAAAAAAAAAGAAAAAAAAAAAGCCATTCCCAGGCCTCGGTTGGTAAGTAAAAAATCAAAAAATTATTGATTTTTTTTCTCTTTTTTTTTATAGAAAGTTAAAAATTCATTGTAAACATACTAATTTTTGTTTTTTGTTTTTTCAAAGAGAAATGTAAAAAAATGACATTAATACAAAATCATTGTAATGTCATAAAAGTATAAACAATTTATATATTGAATTGTGTAACTAAATCTTATACTTTTATTTTTTTGTAATTATTTTGAAATTATTATTTAATTTAAATTGTAGATTTTTTTTTAATTTATGTTTTAGTTAAAAAGTTAAAATTTATTAAAATATTGTGTTTCTAAACATGGCTAGTCAAAAAGTCACTCCTCAAACAATTTATTTATTTTTAGGATTTTGTGTGCAGCACTGCTTGGGAAGGGGGAATGAGAGGGGACTTCGACCTTCGGCTACCTCTCTCCTTCTCCCTTCCTCTTTTCTCCCTTTTTGCTATCTACTCAATAAGTCTTATTAAGAGTTATTTCTTCTAAATCTCTCCTTCTTTGTGAGGTGTTTCTTCTCCCATAGTGGAAGTTTGTTGGGTTTCTCCTCCTTCATCCCACTGGTGCTGGATCTGCCTTCTTTCCCCTCCTCTGTCACTCACCATAGCCATCACCACCATCCCGCTGCCAGATTTGTTACGGATCTGGCCCGCTTCCACGGATCCGATTTTCTCTGGGAATGAGGTTCATTTTTCCTGTTTTTTCTTATTTTTTGGTTTGGTTATATATATATGGCGTCTATCGGTGTTATGCTATAACTTACCCACTTTGTGGTTGTAGCCTATAATCTATCTCAAACATGCTCTATGGCCAATTGATTGGCTTTTGCTTTGCAGTACGAGCACGAGCACGAATTATGCGTCTAAATTTTTTCACAACATTTACTCCTGTGTGTTTATTGATATGATCTTTTTTTTGCTTGGTATAAGTTTATCCGTTAGATGAACTCTTCTCTATATATGCCGTTTGGCTTCATTAATGAAAATTTCTTTCTAATCCAAAAAAATAAAATAAATTAAATTATTTTTTAATTAAAAAAACACAATTAATTTATTTTTTCTTATCCTTCCTTCTTCGTACTTCTCTTTCGTTCACAAGGAGAAAGGGTAAAAGAACAGATTGCATAAAATTGGGTTATAGAATTTGGATGCAATCTTCTCATCTAATGTAAGAATTATGGTCTATTTTGACAATTAAGTAAAAAAATCAACTTATTAATTTATTAGTTTATTTAAATCATACCATTCTCTCTCTTTTTTATATATATTTTTCAAAAAAAAAAAAGTCAAAAACAATTAATAAACTAGCTTTTTTTTTTCCTATTTCTTAAAACAAGCTTTTAAGCTTATGTCTAATTTTTATGATAAACTTCTATGCATTTACATGTAAAATCATTTTAGGAAGTAATTATTTAGTAGCTGCAGAGATTTTTTTATATCATTTATAACTTTTAATATTTGTTAAATTGTGAGTATAGGGGTGGGCGTGGGTCAGTTGTGGCTACAGAACCTCTAATTCGTCATCTGTCCACCAAATTGACGGATTGAAAAAAATCAATCCGCATCCGTCCGCTAATCCAACGGATATGGATTGAGTGGATTGACGGATGGATACGACTTGGTTTGGCAATTTAAAATTTTATTAATTTTTAACATAATTCAACTTGCGCACTTCCTCAAAAAAAAAAAAAAAAAAGTATTATAGTCAATAACTTAAAAAGTATTACAATCACTGCATGCCTCATCTACATAAAGTATTACAATATTTGGTTCTTAAAATATAAAAATAATTCAAACTACCAAAATCATGAACAGAGTAATAATAGAGATTGTATGTCTCGGTATTGTTACATCTATATTTGTTTTTGAAAACAAAAGCAACCAGCATATATCATCTTTTTTATTTATTATTTTTAGAGTTAGATTTAAAAAAAAATATAGATAAAAAATACATTTATTGTTTTTCAATTCAAAAAATATATTCAACTTAAAAACTCTTTTTTCAACAAAATATTTAAACTCTTTTTCAATTAAAAACAAAAACAGAATATCTAAACAAATTAAAAATACAAAGTCTTACAAATTACTAGGGATGCTTGCAGTTTGGCGGTTCAGTTGCGGCCAAATGAATCTCAAATCCGCTATCCTTCCAAAACTAAGCGGATTGGAAAAAAAAACAATCTGCAACTGTCCGCTTGTCATCGCACATCTGTCCAAAATGCGGCGGATCGGTTCGGGTCGGTTTGGTTGGTTTGGGCGGATCGGTATATCTGCTGCTCATCCCTAATTAGCATCCTATAAATTATTTTGGACCCCCCATTTCTTTAAATCCCTACTTATAAATTTTGAAATCCTTAAAATTTCTTTTCTCTTTCCAAATAATACCAAAATTATCTTTGTGAAAACATTGTACCCATTGAATGCACACCCCCACACCAAAAAAAACCCCCATTTTCAAAAAAACCCTAGCAAAGCTATGGGTGTTGATTTTTGACCACACAACCAAATGAGGAACTCAGCTGGGGAGCATCAACAGAATAGATTAAGCCCAACAACCTACACAAGAAGATGAGAATCCGACGGTAGTTCGTCCACCCGGGGACACTCCGTCGATCAAGTCAGTAATCAATATCTCTCAAAGATAGCAAATTATGCTTAAACTTACAAGAAAGAACTTCACAAATAAAAGCATAAAAGCATGACAAATCAAATCATACCTTAGATCTACAGGGGTGTCTCACTTTTATAATAGTCAGTGTCCAACTTCCCCTAGAAGTCTCACTTCATGGGATTCTATCCTTTACAAGGATAACATCTATCACAACTCACACTATTCAGATTAAGATGAACTCCTTCAAGAGTCTCATCTCTATCCAAATAGATAGCTTGATGTCATCTAGGACTCTAGTCCTTTATCCAAAGATCTCGGATTTCGATATCCCTGCAAAATACCTCGGCAGTGCCCTAAACATCTCGGCAAACATGATCTGCCGACGTGGTACCTCGGCTGACACCTCAGCGCCACCTTAGTTACGTGGTGTCATCTCAAAATACTTCTTCACAACTACCCCCTAGGTTCCTGTTATCGTGGCAACCTGAGGTGATAGAACCTACGTCGTTTCATCTTCTAACATGCTAGAGATACTCTTCTGACCGAGATCATGACTCGCCGACGTATTGAAACAAGGACTCAAATGTCCATTCGTCAAGAACCAAGAATTAAGAACCATTATATTCTATTTCATCCAGGTCCAACATCTCGACAGAGATCACACTACTAGTAGAGATCATAATTCACTAATTCAAGAACATCAAGACCCTAGTATCAACTCATCAAGAACCAAGAACAAACAAGTTCTGTCCCATCTAAATTCAACATCTCAACTGAGATCAACATCTCAACGAAGATCATCATCTCAACCAAGATCATCATGTCATCACCTTGTTGGTTCGTATCAGTCACGTGTCACTCTATCACATCAAAGCTGTCCACGCCGCCTAACAGGCATGTCGTCCAAGGCAGTTACATAATGTTTTGCCACCTTTTTGTTTTTAGAAAAAACTTCCTTCACTCTCTCTCTAGAAGTCTCCATTATCATTCTTTTAAAGCTTTTCCTATTATAACTTTGGTCACCACTTCTAACGTACACTTAGCAGTTCCGTTCCAATCAAAGCATTGTCTGACTCTAGCGAATTCTATTCCGACATTTACTTCATCGGCTCTACTTTGTAAGTCCTTAATTTCTTTTATTTTAACTTCAGTTCTCCACTGTTTTCAAATATATTCCTTTTGTGGATTGTTACACATCACACACGGTATCAGTATCTGTATCTGTATCCACATAGCCATCTTGTATTCATATTCGAATCCCACTGTTCTACATGCCTTCGCTTGCTTTGACTCATATTTTTTCCTTTATGTTCTTGATCCCATCTCCACATTTTCTGTATTTGACACATATCTTCTGGCACACTGTCACTGAATTCTATCAATTTTGTTCATACCCTGAATCTGTCAATGCTCTATTTTTCTTGTATTCTTGAATCTTTGATCACTGTTTCATGTTTTTGAGACCTGTTTCTTTTGTCTGTTCTTGCTTGTTAGCAGATTATTGCCTCTGAATCTTATACATATGCAGAGACTTAGGTTTAGGATTTGCTAGAATCACACTTAGGAAAACTGGAACAAATTTTGCTCTCAAACCATCCTCAGAACCCTGAAACTGATAACCTAGCATTTCTCAGGGTTTCGCCGAGGTCTTTAACCCATACAGTCCAATCTTCCTTGCCAAAATAGCCTTAGCCAAGGTCATGGGGATGTTCAAATGGAGGGTAGACTCCTCCAATAAACTAGAATATTTCCGTCAGGAATTCTCCATTACAGCCGACGTTCATCTAAGGTTGGCTAGGGAGGAGGATTCCATGATGCCTAGAGAGACATACATGCCCTTCCTTGTAGTATCTATCATCAAGGGTGGAGTCAAATTCCATTTTGACATCTTGTTTTGCTTCGGGCCGAGGTGCCGTCTTTTGTATCTGAATAAGTTGTCTTTTTAAATGCAAGTCCTCTTTTTTACTAAGTGTTGAATGCTTGTCTTTGTCTTTACTATCTTGTATGATTCTATACTTAAAATATTTTTGTACTTCTCCCAAGTATACTTTAACTGTGTAATCACTTTGGGTTAGAACACATCTGACATGTACCACCTTGGATCCACTTCATCTCGAGTGGACTCTTCGTTGGTCACCTCGGACCAACTTACCTCAGAGTTCACCCTTTTTTGTGATCTCAGCCAACATGCACTTTATAAAAATTCTTTGAATAACATTCAACAAGTATTGC